AAAGAAAGAAAGAAAGAAAGAAAGAAAGAAAGAAAGAAAGAAAGAAATTTAACTGTTGGTCTGCTCAAATCTTATTCTGTATTTCTCTGTAGGCTTTTTCCATGCACTTGATGGGTATATATGAAACTGCTGATCTTTTCTTGATTTCTCCTTTTTTTATCTCCCTTCTCATGCCTTCTTTTCTGTCAATTCCGTATCTGCTGCATTGCTTTGCAGCAGTACATCTCCCAAAAGGTAGGTTTGAACATTTGAATCTTCATGCTCCGCTACTCTAATTTGATTCGGCTTCCAAATGGCTGTGGCTACACTAAGACAATGGTAGCAATAAGCTTATGTGAGTTGGTGGCAGTGCAGTAAAATGCAAGGCTGTCTTTACTTGCTTCTGTCAAATTAATAACAGAGATGGAAGGGACCTTGTAGGTCACCTAGTCTAAGCAGGAGACCCTACACCATTTCTGATAATGGCAGTCCGGTCTCTTCTTGAAAGCTTCCAGGGATGAAGCTCCCACAATGTCTGAAGGCAACTTCTGTTCCATGGGTTGATTCTTCTTACTGTCAGAAAGTTTCTCCTTATTTCTAGGTTGAATCTCTCCTTGTTCAATTTCTATCTATTATTCATTGTCTGGCCTTTGGATGCTTTGGAAAATAGCTTGACGCCTCTCCTCTCTGTGGCAGCCCCTCAAATATTGGGCAAGTCATGTTCGTATTCTAGGCAAGCTTTGTTTCTCTTCATTATTATAAAACTCATGGATTTCATTGATAGTCACGAGTCTACAGGAATGGAGTTCCATTGACCATCACTTCCATATTTTTTGGAACTAGTCAGACATAGGTAGCAACAGCAATAGCACTTAGGTTATATACCGCTTCATAGTGCTTTGCAGCCCTCTCTAAGCAGTTTGTAAAGTTAGCCTATTGTCCCCAACAATCTGGATCCTCATTTTACCAACCTGGGAAGAATGGAAGGCTGAATCAACCTTGAGCTGGTCAGGATCAAACTCCTGGCAACAGGCAGAGTCAGCCTGCGATACTGCATTTAATCACTGTGCCACCACAGTTAGACAGATGTTAATCTGGTGTTTAGGCCCTGTATCAGGAACTGAACTTTGCACTTTAGATGAGTATAGATGAGTTTTAGGACCTATCCAGGTTTTGGTGCTCAGCAGTTGCAGGAAGCTACCAGAATGGTATATACAAAACTAACTTTTAAGAACCACATACTGTAGGGAGGATGTGATGTTAAACATGAAACTCCTCTTAAGTATACAAAAATTGCTTTGAAAATGGTAGCTAACCATGTACTTCACTGTGATTTGCTACTCTTTGGACTTGGTGTCTTCTGACATATAAGGGAAAATGTGTTGACTGTACGTTCTCCAAGCTGTTCCAAAAATAGCCCTTAATCCAATTTCAGGTTGTTTTTTTGTAGTGCCACCTAACCTATCTACAGAGGCATTGTGGACACTAAATCTGGGCCACATTGAAGATGTTATTGCCTGTTTGCAATAGTCCAGTTGACCACCTGAAGTAAAATATTGTATTAGAAGACCTAGGTCAGTCTATGATGATGGAAGCAGTCTGGGAGCATCTTTTTTTGACTAACACGTTTTTATTAAAAGGCAGAAGCTTTCATGAGCTGCGGCTTACTTGAGCTGATTTGTCATTTGATGAAATAAGCTGTGGCTCCCAAAAGCGTATGCCTTTTTAGAAGAGAGGGGAGGGGAGGATATTCTTGTATTGGCCAAGTGTGATCGGACACACAAGGAATTTGGCTCTGGTGCGTAAGCTCACAGTGTACACATAAACAGCAAATAATAGGTCATAGCTCATAAATCAATAAAAAATGAGGATTATTACCAAGTTGGGTAATGAAACATCTGCAAGAAAACAACCTGGCTCAGAGAGAGCACCAAGGACCTTGCATTTCAACCCTGAGCTATAAATATTCTTCATTGGTACCATGAATTGTGTTAATATAATTATGGACATTTTCCCAAGGGCCGTACTACATAGGCATACCCATGTTAAAGTGGAGGACAAAACAAAATTGTATTTAACAGTTTTCTTGCATTTCAAATCATCTTGGCATGTAGAATAACATACTCAAAACTTACTCGGCATAAAATTTCATTGCGCAATTCCTGCATTTTGCCTGGCCTAAACTGCATTTAATCTAGCTTGGCTGCAAGAAAGAAATGGCTATGTGGACTTGTTCCTGGCTTACGTATAATTCTGTGCCCTGGTCGTCGTCTTTATGTGTTGGTCTCACATTTCTCATTGTCACCAAGACATTTGCAATTTCTTTTAACCTTTTCTTCCCCACAATATTAGAGCTCCTGTGGCAAAGATACTGTTGGTTGCCAATTGACCTATTTAAATTATATATGTCACCCATCTCACTGTTACAGCGACTTTGAGTGGCTTCCAATGTAATAAAAGGGTAAGCAAAGCTTTTTAGGCAAGAGCCGTGGTGGTGCAGTGATTAGAATGCAGTATTGCAGGCTAACTCAATGCTCACTGCGAGCAGTTCGATCCTGACTGGCTCAAGGTCGACTCAGCCTTGGTGAGCCATGGTGGCACAATGGTTACAATGCAGTACTGCAGGCTACTTCTGCTGACTGCTGGCTGCCTGCAATTTGGCAGTTCGAATCTCACCAGGCTCAAGGTTGACTCAGCCTTCCGTCCTTCCGAGGTCGGTAAATTGAGGAGCCAGATTATTGGAGACAAGAGGCTGACTCTGTAAACCATTTAGAGAGGGTTGTAACGCACTGTGAACCAGTATATAAGCCTGAGTTCTATTGCTATATACATCTAAGTGCTAGTGCTACTGCTATTATCTTTTAGTAATAATTCTCTTCCCATTTAAGACTTGAAGGTAGAATTGATTTAAGCCAGTCGCCTTTTCTTAACTTGTTTTGTTTGTTGTTCCCCAGGCAGAATGTCCACCTGGCTGTTCATGCCGAGAACTTCAAGTCTGAAATTGTCGATGTGAAGAAGATGAGAGACATCTGGTCATGGATTCCCGAGCGCTTTGCCCTTTGCCAACCTCTACTGCTGTTTACCACCTCAGAGCATGGCTGCAGCCTAAACAGGTAGTAATTAACTCCATCGTTGTTGTTTTTTAAAGGATTTGTAGTAGGAAAAAATTAACTGATATCCCTGCATTGACGGTGCGCCATCAAGTCAGTGTAGACCAGAGGCCTCCAAACTTGGCAACTTTAAGACTTGTGGACTTCAACTCCTAGAATTTTAGGAGTTGAAGTCCACAAGTCTTAAAGTTGCCAAGTTTGAGGACCCCTGGTATAGATCTTTAGCAGCCATACAGGTGTATTTTCAGCTTGGTCCTACCAACTTGCCAACAGGATGCTTTCAAAAAGTTGGGTTAGGATTGTGGAGAGCCATATCTCTTCTCAACTCTAAAGCTCACCAAGTATCTTCGGACGGTTTCTGTCTCTCTTTGAATCTACTAGCTTGTGAACTTTGATTAAGAATAAGATGAGGGTTGTCAAAACTGTTATCACCTCTTTCGTGCCTTTAAAAGCTATAAAGTTAAGCAAAGAATGATTTTCATCCTGCATTCTATTTATGATACCTATATAAATAGGTGTAAAATTACTGCAACTTGATTAATTGTTTATGTGCTCTCACGTCAAGTACAATGCTTGTTTTGATGGATAGAGCTTTTTAGTTCTTATTGGATTAAACTTATCTGAAGGTTCAAACAATGTTGCACTGCATTAACAATATTTTTATCCCAGATATAGATAGATAGATAGATAGATAGATAGATAGATAGATAGATAGATAGATAGAGCTATATATAAAACTCCCTTTTACGACCCTGAGATCCCTTAATTTGGGGTAAAATCAGGGCAACTGGATGGAGCTGAGCATTTCCTGGCCAGATGCCCTTCCTGACGCCTATGTGGAGTTCACAACAGATATTTTTTCTTTGCACCCTAGGAGAGAAACATCTGCCGCTATATGTGTGTGTGTGTGTGTGTGTGTGTGTGTGTGTGTGTGTGTTTTCTTAAGTTTTCGCGGGTACTTAGGAACAAAGCCGAATGCCATATATATATGTATATGTATATGTATACACACACACACACACACACACACTATCCCTCCTTCATAAATATGCTATATGTCAATGTTTGTGACTCTGCCAGATCCTAGGGGAATGTATTCAATTAGTAGAAGGTAAATTAATGTTTAAGTAGAAGTTGGATTAATGTTTCATAAAGACATATTTTTATACCTATTGTACATTAGGTTTTACTCACATTGTGAAGGGCATGAACCAACTCTCCTTTTGATTAAAACAACTATGCAAGAGGTAAGTGAGAGGATAAAGAACAGCCTGGTTAGAGGCTCCCTTGATGAATTTCAAAAGCTTGAACAAAGCAATGTCTTAAGACAAAGGTCTTCAAACTTGGCAAGTTTAAGACTTGTGGACTTCAACTCCCAGAATTCCTGAGCTAACATGACTGGAGGAGGAATTCTGGGAGTTGTAGTCCACAAGTCTTAACGCTGTCCAGTTTGAAGACCCCTTTCTTAAGATTTTCTTCCCCTTAAAAAAAAGCAGAAATTTCTGTTGTCTCTTTCTTTTCAACGAAAGTCCCCTTGACTTGTTTGATGCTCTTGTTTGTTGCATTTACCACCCAAGATTCATTGGAGGCACACTCAGATATTCAACACACTTGGCTTTTAATCTGCCAGAGTTGAGAAGATGACAACTGAAACAGCAGCTATTGTCAGGCCCAAGAAGGCAGCATTACTTAAAAGTAGTTTCCTGTATTGTTCTTCACCTCCAGACAGAATCTTGCCAGACTAAAGCAATTATCTGTATCACTGTAGCTCTGCTTTGTGAGCTGCTAAGGAGGGTCCGTCCTTGTTCTCTTCCTGCCTATCAGGCGTTCCAAGCTCTGCTGATTCTTTACCCTCTGGAAAGCAGCCCCTCCCTGCTGGGAATCCAGACTATATCCCACCACAATTATATTGACATTCTGAAGAGATCCGCTCCCTAAGGCAGTGTCTATTTTCTGTGCTCCCTCTCCTAGGTCTGCGGGGCTTATTTGTCAACCGATTGGCATGATCGCAAACGAGGAGGAGGCAAGCTAAGTTTCTTTGGGACAGGAGAATGTTTTGTATTCAGGGTAAGAAACCATTGTGACTTTCTTCCAGAGGTCTTCAGTTCTGGCTTAAACACATTCGCTTTTCAATTTAATCTCCTGCCCTCTTCCAGCTGGTGCCTGAAGTGGAACGGTACGAGTGGGTTATAATCAAACACCCAGAACTCGCCATGACTGGCTCTGAACAAGAAAACAATTCTTCGGCCGTTTCTGACTCCCCCTCCTCAACCGATCTCCCCCTGGATCCTTCCAGTCGCCTTTCCCCTTTCCTTTCAGCCCGGCACTTCAACCTGCCTTCCAAAGCAGCGTCCATGTTTATGGCCGGTAGCACTGATTGCATCATCATAGGTAGGTCTCCGGTTTTCCGCTTCCTCTCAAAAACGGCTTTTTTGTACTTACAGAGAGAAATGAGTCTTATCTTCCATGCTCTCCGTTAGCACTTGCTGAGGCTGCTTTTAACACTTTTTATTTGTGAACAGCCAAAATTATCTGGAAATGTGGGTCAGAGTGGTAATGAATACGCAAAATGCTGCGATTACCGTATTCTAAAAATGTTATACCCGCTGGGCTAATGGTTTTGAAAGGCAGCTAGCTAATGTTGAAGGTCTAGCAAGCAACACTAAATTTTACATCATTGGCATGGAGTGATTCATGTGTAAAATAAGAATGGCACTTAGACTTATGTATTGCTTCACAGTACTTTACAGCCCTCTCTAAGTGGTTTAGAGAGTAAGCTAAAAAATTTGGGTCCTCATTTTGCCCACCTTCGGAAAGATGGAAGGCTGAGTCAACCTTGAGCCAGTGAGAATCGAACTGCTGGCAGAGTTAGCCTGCAATACTGCATTCTTACCACTACACCACCACGGCTCTTAGATAGAGATAGAGATAGATAGCTATAGATAGATAGATAGATAGATAGATAGATAGATAGATAGATAGATAGATAGCAATAGACTTATATACCACTCCACAGTGCTTCACAGCCCTCTCTAAGAGGTTTACAAAGTCAGCCTCTGGCCCCCAATAATCTGGCTCCTCATTTTACCAACCTCGGAAGGATAGAAGGCTGAATCAACCTTGAGCCTGGTGAGATTTGAACTGCCAAATTGCAGGCAGCCGGCGGTCAGCAGAAATAGCCTGCAGTACTGCACTCTAGCCACTGCGCCACTGCATAGTCACAATGATGTAACTATGCCAAGGATGCCAATTAGATGAAATATGTAAATTGAGATTCAATGGACACCATATTCCTCGAGTATTATTTTGCACATGTTGGATTTTGATAGTCATGAAGGGTCCTTGGTGCTCTCTGAGCTTGGTGGGTTTTTTTTTTGCAGACCTTTCATTACCCAAACTGGGTAACATCATCAGGGTCAGTGGTGCTCAGAAAGCATCAAGTACCCTTCATTTCAACCCCGAGCTACAAATAGTCTCCTTTATTGATCGGGACAGTCATAGTATTTTAATTCCAAAGCAGCCTGGTTAAAAGAACTAGAGGCAGGTATTTGAAATATATGAAGACACGAGTGTTTCTCTTCTGTCTACAAAAATACAGGTAGTCTTTGCTTAATGACCAGTCAATTTAGCAACTGTTCAAAGTTACAATGGAACAACCCTCCCCGCCCCCCAAAAAAGCTACTTAACAATCTGATTCCAGAGTTCCAACAATTGTGCATGCACATACACACCACGATCATATGACTGCATTTAGTGTGCTTGGCAACCAGCGTTAACCTTTACAGCTGATTGCAGTCTTCTGCAGTCATGTGACTGTAACGTACAACATTTTGCAGATTTCTAGCTCTTCAGACAGTTTCTAGCAAAAAAAAAATCCAACTGGAATACAGGAATTGATTTAATAACTACTCAGTTTGCTTAATGACCGTTGTCTTTGCTTAATGGCCATGGCATTTGCTTAATGATTGGTGCAAAAATGTTATAAAATTGGGACCAATCATGTGGGTGCCTCAACTTGTGTCTGTCATGACTTATGACTGAAATTCTGATTCTGTAACAGATATACCGTGGTGGCCAGTGGTTAGAGTGCAGTACTGCAGGCTACTTCTGCTGACTGCCAGCTGACTGAAGTTTGGCAGTTCAAATCCCAGCAGGCTTAAGGTTGACTCAGCCTTCCATTCTTCCGAGGTTGGTAAATTGAGGACCCAGATTGTTGGGGGCAAGAGGCTGTAAACCACATAGAGATGGCTGTGAAGCGGTATATAAGTCAAAGTGCTATTGCTACTGCTATACTATAAGTCAAGGATTACCTGTGGTAATTACAACAACCATATTGTGAGATAGCACCAAGATGTAGACACATTCCAAAATTATCTTCTTTGCAGGTGGTGGCGATGGCCAAGCCCTCTATCTTGATGGAGACTTGAATCACGGAAGGACGGGTCATTGCAATACTTTCAACAATCAACCGTTGTGCTCCGAAAATTTCCAGATAGCTATCATGGAAGTTTGGGGGTTCAAGGACACTATGAGCAGCTGAGAAGTTTGCCTCCTTCAACATTGACTAGCCCATGAAGTATTTCTCAAGTTTCCGTGCCCATTTCCAGTTGCAGGAACCAAGCTATCCTTGGAAGGCCCCCCAGAATTAACCTTCTTTGTACTTCGTAAAAAGCTAAATTGGGAGATCTCGGCTAAATCTGGGGCCTAGTTGTTTAGTCACCGTGTTTTTGTACGTAATTCTGTGTAGTCTAAATGATTAGCCTCTTTCTGCTCTGTTGAGTTTGATGCACACCCTGATATTTTTGGTGGGAAGGGAGAGATCTTAACATCCCCCCCTCAGTTGATCCATAACTCTGTCAACATTGCCATCCACTAGAGGCATTCAGATGTCATTGGGTGTTTTTTTTTCCAGATGTTGACAGAGATGGACTAGCAGCTGATTCAACCAACAAGTGTCATTTCTTATAACTGTGAGCTTCCCTCCAAAAATCAATGGATTATGTTGCTGATTTCTTTCAGTTTTCCCTCATTCTCACCCTCTGCGTATTACATCCATCTTGGGATTCCCTCACAGAGCTACAGTAGATGAAGAGATTTTATTGCATAGCACACAAGCACCTTCAGATTCAACCTATTATTTTCAGGGACTTTCTTCCTTAAATCTATTTAACCCCTGCTTTGAGCCTGTTGTACCTGGCTGCTCTCCCGACTGCTAACTGCATAATTCCAATATGTGGGAAAATACCTTTCAGGAATCTTAATTTTCATTCTGCAGTGACACACTGATCTGTAGATGTTAAAGGGACCTCCAACCCTCCTCATATTTTTCTGTTTACATTCCTGGCACCGCATATCAGTAATATACTTATTTTATTGTAACAGCTTCAGGCCACTGAAATCCAATGCAATATACATTGTGCACAAAAATATCCTCAGCAACCAGAACTATGACTTCATCCTTTTCTAGACTAGCCCTCTGCATTTGTGCTTAAGAGTAACAGTATTTCCGAAGCAGTATTAGCCATCCAACCCGAAACAGTTGATCGGTATATAAACCAACCATTTCTCTAATTTCTCCATTAATTAGGACTGGTTGAGTTCTCCAGGCCTGCAATTTTTTTCAGTAACACGATTGCCTCTTTTTTATATTCATTTTGGTGCTGTGCATCTTGGATTTTCAAGATAGGTGTACTGAATACGTGTGAGTGCAGATTTTACTTCTGATGGTGGGGTTCTTTTTTTTTTTCCCCCTCCAGAGACATTTGTGACTTTCTCGGCCCCATACCTTTCCCCACTTCATAATTTATATCTCCTCTTTGTCCAGTTGTCCTGGCCTAAATCTGTATAAAGTGTGTGACTCCGTGTCTGTCCGGAAATCCAGTTGATTTTATTGTATACAAATAAAGTGAATATGACTTCATTTTTCAAACCAGCTTCATAATTCTTGGGGCCTGCTGTTGGAGTTTTTCCTGCATCTAAGGTTGCTCCTTAGGGAAACAAGGTTGTTCAGGTGCTGAGATCCTGAGATTCGGGTGCGGGCAAATCTCCCTTAACACCATGGCTTGATTCTTAAGCATCTTTCATTGGCTTGAATTGAATTGGCATCCTTCAGCCTCAAGAGATTGTGGTATCGTGTTATGAAACATAACTGCCACATCCCGTGTTGTTTCAATGCTGTATGCAAAGCTGGAGTGTCCCCTCCAGAGCACGAGGCCTGAGTAATTTAATATGGAGGATAAACTGTTACCCAAGCAGCAGATCCCCCCTCTCCACATCACTGGAATGGAACGGCAGAGCTGATACGATTAGTTCCAGGTGCATCACAGGAGTTACCAGAACGTGATTGTACACAGTCACAAACTGCTTCTGGGACTCCAGCTCCGGATTTTGCCTCAGGGTTGACTCCTGAAGCCTTTTCCAATAACAGATATAGCCACTAGGCAGTGGAGGTTTGAAATCAGAGTTTCCCTTCTCTTAGAAGATGGTTCTACCGTTTTATCTGCCGTTGGGGCATAAAGCCCTCTTTCGCCTTCAAAACTTGACCATCTCCTATAACCCTGGAAAGGGGCCTTTATGAGGTGCATTGGCTGCTGTTCAGATAAACCAAGGGTCTTCAAACTTGGCAAGTTTACGACTTGTGGTCTTCAACTCCCAGAATTCCTGAGCTAACATGACTGGAGGAGGAATTCTGGGAGTTGCAGTCCACAAGTCTTAAGCTGTCAAGTTTGAAGACCCCTGAGATAAACCTGGCTGCTGTTCAGATAAACCAAGGGTCTTCAAACTTGGCATGTTTAAGACTTGTGGGCTTCAACTCCCAGAATTCCTGAGTTAACATGACTGGAGGAGGAATTCTGGGACTTGAAGTCCACAAGTCTTAAAGCTGTCAAGTTTGAAGATTCCTGATCTGTCTGTCTGTCTGTCTGTCTGTCTGTCTGTCTATCTATCTATCTATCTATCTATCTATCTATCTATCTATCTATCTATCTCAAGGGTCTTCAAACTTGGCAAGTTTAAGACTTGTGGGCTTCAACTCCCAGAATTCCTGAGCTAACATGACTGGAGGAGGAATTCTGGGAGTTGAAATCCACAAGTCTTAAGCTGTCAAGTTTGAAGACCCCTGAGATAAACCTTAAGAGAAAAGTTATTGTAAATTCTTTCAAATCGCATTTGATCACAGGTGGCCCTTGAGTAACTTCCACAATTGAGACCCGATTTTCTGTGACAAAGCAAGGTGATTGTTTAGGGAGTTGTACCCAATTTACGACATTTTATTTTTTTGCTATGGCTGTTCAACAAATCACTGCCATTAAGTGAATCATATGGTGTTAAGGAAATGCAGATTCTCCCATGGACTTCGCTTGTCAAAAGCCAGCCGGGAAGGTTTGCAAATGCCAGTGAGATGACCTCGGAATTCTGCAACCTTTGCAAAGGCAGGGTGGTTGCCAAGTTCCCAAATTTTGAACACGTGACTGTGTAGACACCACAAAAGTTGTAAGTGCGAGGACCAGTGGTAAGTCCCTTCTTTCAGTGCCATTGTAACTTTGAATGTTTACTAAATAAAAGATTGTAAGTCGAGGACTACCTGTACACGAAAAGGCCAAACTCTTTTCTTGGAAATATAGTTGGGGTGTTTTTTCCTGCTTTGGTAAAATATTATTGCATAGTCAACATTTTTCCAAACTGATACCCTTCACATATTAGGGCAGTGGTGGCTAACCTTTTCGGTACCGAGTGCCCAAACGAACATGCATGCATGCCGGAGTGCCGGAAACCAGAAGACCAGCTGGCTGGTACGCGCATGCCTGTTTTGGGGGTATTTTGGGGGTCATTTTCAGGCCAAAAAACAGTCTGAAAACAGCCCGGAAAATGGCCTGATAATCATCCAAAAATGGCCTGGAAAATATCCAGAAAACAGCCTGAAAATGGCTTGGAAAATGGCCCGGAAAATGGTCTGAAAACAGCCTGAAAAATGGCTTGGTTTTTTGGCCGTATTTCGGGGCATTTTTGGGCGCTCCGATGCCCACAAAGACCAGCCGGCCAGCATGACAGAAACCAGAAGAGCAGCTGGCAATGGTGCACGTGCCCATGTAGAGGGCTCCGCATGCTACCTCTGGCATGCCTGCCATAGGTTCGCCATCACAGTGGCTTCGCTTCCTAGGATCTCTACCAAGCAATGGCAGTTCATATGTTGCAATTATGGGAGGGTTAAATGGATGTTTCTCAAGTGTACAATATGTTCGGACATTTCTTTAAAAAGGAATGACAGTCATTGCCCGTTTAGCCCTCTAGATGTCAGTGGTCACTTCATATAGATCTAGCTGAGTGGTAGAACTAATAATTTGGGACTGGTGATAAAACAGCTCAATCAGATTAGAGTTGGCAGGAACTTTGGAGGTCTTCTAGTCCAGCCTCCTGCTCAAGCAGGAGACCCTATACCATTTCAGACAGGTAGCTATCCAGTCTTTTCTTAAAAACCTTTACTGATGGAAGCACCCACAACTTCTGGTGGCAAGCTATTCCACTGGTTAATTGTCCTCACTATTAGGAAGTTTCCCCCTAATTCCAGGTTGCTTCTCTCCTTGATGATTTCCATCCATTGTTTCTTGTCCTGCCCTCAGGGGCTTTGGAAAATAAGTCTTTGTGGCAACATCTCAAATACTGGAATATATCTAACCCCTAGTCCTTTTCTCTAGATTAGCCAAACCCCTAATCTTGCAATCATTCTTCATATATTTTTGTCTCCTGGCCTTTAGTCGTTTTAGTTGCTCTTTGCATTTTTTCCAGCTGTTTCAACATCTTTTCTGTAATGGGGATCAAAACTAATAAGATTATTATTCTAATAAATATTCCAATAACAACATTGGGGAAGCCTTTTGTATTGCCCCTAGTAAAAAAAAAGGGGGGGGGGGTCCCAATTCCATCATTTTGAATTTCAGGGCATGTATAATAATGTTGCTGCACTTCTCAGGTACAGATCTCTAAGCGTTCTTCAGAAATCTATTTCTGCAAAAATCCAATCTAGAATTAAGGAGAAATTTCCTGACAGTGAGAACAATTAATCAGTGCAACAACAGCTTGCCTGCAGAAGTTGTGAATGATCCAACACTGGAAGTTATTAAAGAAGACGTTGAATAGCCATTTGTCCAGAATGGCATAGGATTCCTGCCTTGAGCAGAGGTTGGGCTAGAAGACCTCTAAGGTCCCTTCCAACATTGTTATTCTGTTTTCAACACATGGTTTCCATATAAAGCCTTGCAACGTGCAGTGTGTTTATGCAAAAGGACTTTTATACCTATTCTAGACCATATTGCTTTCTGGTCTAATCTCAAAAATAAAGATGTTTTCACCTGTCTTGTTTTGCATCTGTGTTTGAGGGTGGGGGGAAAACCCACTGGTTTAAGCATATTTAAGTACTGTTAGCTACTTTCTGCAGCCAGCTGCCTACAATTTGGCAGTTCAAATCCCATCAGGCTCAAGGTTGACTCAGCCTTCCATCCTTCTGAGGTGGGTAAAATGAGGATCCAGATTGTTGGGGGCAAGAGGCTGACTCTGTAAAGTGCTTAGAGAGGGCTGTGAAGCGCTATAAAGTGTTATATAAGTCTAAGTGCTGTTGCTATATGCAGAAGCTTGAGCATTCATGACTCATGGAAAAACATTTGTAATTGAAATTGATAACTAATGGATATCCTTAATCATCACCTTTGTACTTATTTTTAAGCACACTAACGCTAATGAAGGCGAAAGATGTGAAACTTGAAGGCACATCACTCCAAAGACTTGGACAGATGGAAAATCAGAAAAGGTACTTAAAGCAAGTCACTCCTGGATACAGTGATTTCTGAGCCTTCACTGGAATCTGTTCGCTTTATTTAGAAAAACACACCATATGTTGTCACCTTAAAGAATGGAATATTAATAGAAGTAGAATATTTTTATTAAGAATTCAGTAAGCTTTGGGGCATTTGTTTCAAATCTATGCCTATTTGTTTGTCTTATCTGTTTCTCTACCCATCTACTTCCATTTCTCTGTCTCTATCCATCCATCCATCCATCTTCTATCTAGTATAAAGATACCTAACATCCATCCATCCATCCATATCTATCTATCTATCTATCTATCTATCTATCTATCTATCTATCTATCTACCTATCTACCTATCTATCTATCTATCTATCTATCTATCTATCTATCTATCTTTCCATCTATCATCTATCTATCTATTTTCTATCTATATGTCTGTCTATATCTATCTATCGGTTATCAATCATCTATCATCTATCTATCTTCTATCTATATGTCTGTATCTATCTATCTATCTATCTATCTATCTATCTATCTATCTATCTACCAGTTATCTATCTATCTATCTATCTATCATCTATCTATCTATCTACCTACCTAATCTACCTATCTAAACAGGTAAAGGGATTCAAATGGCATTGCTTTAAGTCATGTAAAGCCTTCTTCCTTAGCAAAATGTGTGGCTGCTATGCCCCTGATTGCAACAGACCTTTCTTGGAAACACCCTGCCAGAAAGGCAAAGAAGAAGAAAAAAAAATGGGGAAGTGAAAACCACAAGCAGGAAAAAAGACTCTGTGGAAACTCCTCATGTGATGAATCATGGAATAATTAGAGAGGGTAGAGGCTACTTGTAAGGAAAGATTCTGAGAAGTTGGCTCCTCGGAGAAGCTCTGCTGCTAAAATGAAACAAGAAAAATAACTACAGAGTTATTATGTTTATGTTTGTTGTTAAACATAAAAAAAACTCTTTAAAAATAAAAAAAATAAAATAACTACAGAGTTGGAAGGGACCTTGGAGGTCTTCTGGTTCCAACCAGAGCAGACCCTATAACCATTTCAAACAAATGGTTGTCCCGTCTCTTCTTGAAGACTTCCAGTGATGGAGAAC